GTATCTTCTTGTTTACTTTGAATTCTCAGCTCTGATGCAGTCCATAAATAATGAAGGTATCTAAAAGTATCCTGAAACATTACTTTAAAATTGAAATTTGTCTATTTCAGGTTTGTCGGTAGCAGGAGACGCCCCGATATCGAGGAGAAAATCTTTCAAAAAATCTTTACGAGAATCTTTTCGAAGATTAAGAAAGGGACGACATTCTGTGCGACATACAGAAAAACGTGTCATTCCTCCAGTTAGCCCTGTCCCAATTGACAGAAGGAGGTAATGTATACAAATTTTGCTACCTTTTACTTCAGATTACAAACAACTTAATTAACATACAGTGGAGCCATGGGTGGCAATTTCTGCTCAATATTTGGATGACATTAACTGCAAATACAATAAAAATAGAGAGCAGTAGAGTTGGGAGAAGTTCGTAAGCTTTAAGCCAAATAAATAAAATAGCCACTTTGCCAATTTATTTTAAACTTTTTCATCTTCCTCAAAATTACTGTCCCTATGCTTCTATATTTCTTTAGATCGTCTTAATGACAGGGACCTAAGCTGATTAAATTTATGTTTTTGTTCTCAAAAATTGAAATTAATGGGTAGAAACCTATACACACTTACATATTAGTCGCTTTATAGCACTCCCTGGCGCTCTACGACACCTCATCTCCACCGCCCTCTGTTGAACCACAACCCTTCGGGCTTCGGGCACTGAGTACCTCTTAACTTATATCTTATCTATTTAATCATTTTTATGTTGGAATATATTGAATACTCATCCTCGCTCAGTTAGTGATTTGTATACTCAATTGCTCATTCTATGCTCTTCATAATTTTTAGTGCGGAATCAGGAGAGTTAAGCGTGATACAGGTAGAATCAAAACCAGTGGAAAGAGCCATAGAAGCAAGACCTGCTGATGATGGCCTTGGCAGCATGGTTAGATGTCTTTATTTTGCAAATAGTTTTATTATCAGTGGTAAGTCGATGTCTTTGATAAATCTTTTTAGTTTTTAATGGAGTATTTATTTCCAAAATTATTTGTAATTTCTATTTTATTTGCCTGAAGTTGTCTTAAGTATTTAAAATTAAATTCCATAGCTCAGCTTCTTCTGAATCATTATAGTCCCCGTCTTTATAAATATGTTAAAAATGTATCCTAAATTCACATCCTCAACTCGAGCTGACACCACCATGTCAAAAATGAACTTCACAGAAACGGACTTCAAGAAGTAAACTTCACATAGAGTTGCAGTAAAATTAACGTTGCTTTTAATTCCTTGAACATTGTCTCACAAAAGTTTATTTTCACGATTATTCCAAACATCAATTTTTTACCCCCTCAAAAAACTACTAACATCATGTTCCTCACTATAACAAATCCCCTCTTTTTTTTTTCTTTTTTCTCTTTTTTTTTGGCCGTTGGTTTTCAGAGAACCTGTCTGCCAGGTTTAGTTATTGCCTTGAAGAGTTTAAATGACAGGAAATAAGTAATTTTTGCGGAAGTCAGAATGGCTTTCTGGAAAATTCAGTCTAAAAATTTAAGCTATTCATTGAACCAAAAAAAAGGAAGTGCTAATCTTATAGGTATCGATTTTTACAAGGCTGTATTCTGTATCAAAGCACTCGTTGGTAGTGCATTTCTTTCCTTCGTGTGTCAAGTGTCTTCTGATGATGTTGCTTCTCTGTATTCTTCCATTTTGTCTGTTTGATCAATGATTATTATTTTATTACTTTCAGTTCAACACTCAACTCCCATGCTTTGGGCAGGAACAAACAATGGGACTGTTTACATATTTACAATAACTTTGCCGCCCCGCGCTAAAAAGAATGAAGAGAAAATATTGTGCCAACTGGGTAAGTAGCATAACTTTAGTAAATTTTTTACATGAGACTCAGATCAATTTTTCAACAAAGCTTTATTTTTGAATTCAATGAGTCTTTGA